AGAGGAGCAATTCAGATTTCAGATTCTCCCTTTTTGATGCATATATATATATATATATATATATATATATATAGTTCCTGCCATTTTATCTGACACTGGCAACACAGTCATCTAGATTTGGTCATTCGTACTGAGATTTCTCAGAGTCCTCTTCAGGTGATATAATCCTCCTTCTTTTACCACTTACATAGCTTATAAATATTGTGTTATAACTCTCCAATGCTGAACTGCAGGGCATTTCAATTTTAACCTCATTTTAAGATGAAGATTGGCAATTTATTCCTACTATTTTCTTAATGAGCATTCAAGCCCCATGATAGAATTTAAGAGGTGAAAGCTCTCACTAGCTGCCAACTGCTATGGACTATATCAAAGACTCACTAAATTCCACATATACACTTCTCTCACTGGTTTCTTCAGTCTTTCATGAATTTTCTTGCAGTCAAAAGGAGAGGAAGTAAGATATTCCTTGAACTTGGATACATTATTCTTCGTAGACTAATTCAGGGTGGAAGGGACCTCCAGAGGCCTCCAGTATAATGATCTTCCCAAAGCAGGGCTAGCCTTCAGATCAGAACAGGTTATTTGGGATTTATCCAGTCAGGTCTTGAAACCCAACAAGGATGAACACTGCATGACTTCTCCACCTCTTGATTTAGAAACCTGCTTCTGCTTCTCTTAATAACATCACAAAGAAACTGATGGAAAAGGTAATTAAAACTGCAGATCCTTGAACCTAAGTCCTTTATAAGCACTGTGAGCCTTTCCAGGGAGGACACTCTGACTGGCACATGCAGTGAACATGAGTTGAGCCATGTGCATGGTTTTACTCCATGCAGAGAGAAAATCTTCAATCACATGGGATGCACACACAGCCTAGATATTATAGAAGATACAAGGAGATAATTGTTCTTTCCTGCTTGGAAATTTTATGCAGCATCTTCTTACTCAACTTTCATCCTTCAGGCAGCTTTATTTTGATATTTGTAGCTAAGGCGATTGAAGAAATCTAGAAATGGTTTCAAAGGCAATATCAAGAAGTGGCAATTAAATGGTGGGATTTTTCTTTTCTCAATAGTTCACACCTTTGAGTTTCTTGGGACAGTTTTTATGTTAGTTATGCCTTGTCCGTCACTGAGCAAAAGACTTTAAAGTTTTCTCTGTTCTAATTTCTATGTGGCCCTGATATTTCTGCATACAAAAACAGTTGGAGTAGTACTGGTACAGACTGACAAAGTTGTATATGTGAAATCAGTGTCAAGGATGCTTCCACAGCTCTGCTGGTCACTGATTGATGAATGGTCAGAGAGAAGCCCAGGACATTTTGAATCCAAACCATGGTGAGTGTGATCTTCACAAAGTCCTTCAACTTCTCCTATGAGTTGGTTCAAAGTACTTGGATTTCGAAATGAGTGTTTCAATTTATTCTCTTAACTAGGGATATGTATAACAGGAAAACCCTGAAGTTAAGGTGTTACATTTCACACCCTGCTGTTTAAACATCTTGCTAATGGGAAATCTTTTTCAGAAAAATTGATGTGCAATCTTTCACTTACATAGTATGTTTGAATTTAAACTGCTTAACTAAAGAGTATTTATCTTTTAAATTCACCAAAACAGTGGCTTAGTGAATTTGATTAGAATATTTATCTAGAAGAACTAAATATAACAGACTCCAGAAGCCTTCAGTTCTGAATACATCCAGTAACTTGCAATGTACTTGGGCCTGCCAAGTCTTCCCCTGGACCCCACTGAACCCTCTCTGCACCTGGCTGGCAGTGGTCAGTGCAAGGGCAGAGCAGTGCCCTTGCTCCTCTGCAGTCTGTAGAGCTTTCAGCAAGCTCCCTCTGAAGAGCAGAGCTTTTAGTGGACACTGTAAAGTGGGGACAATCACACAGCAGAGCTCTCTCTGCACGGTGACCCGGTGCTCTTCCTCCCCTGCCATGGGAATCCGTGCATCTCACACATCTCCAGGCGTGTGATCCCAAAACAGCAGGGTCTCACTTAATAAACTTGTTTACCTTCTGCCTTAGGATGGCACACAACTTTTACTTGCTGTAAAAGCAGTTTAAAGCCTGCTTGAGGTCCGAGGCAGGGTTATGGGTCCTTCAGGTTGCCCCAGGGACTGAGGGGTTGTGCTGCTGTGTGCAAGGCCATACACCCTGTGGTGGTGCCCCCAGCTACATCCTGCCTCTGAGCAAAATGAGCAAAGCCAACAGGGGGAACATGCCCTAGGTGGGAAAGGCATTTTGGTTTGTGCACATCTGTATCAAGTATCAGCCACTGCCTGAATTAGTCATGGAAAGATAAGCACGGATCTAATTTTACCACTCGACTTTCTGAACATTACAGACACAAACTGAATGAAGAATGTATTTGATGATACACACAGTTGTCAAGTGGATTTGTCAATGTCTTTTCTGGTGGCTATAAAAATGCATAATCTGTTTAATGATGCAATGCCATAACAGATATTCAAATTGTTTGAACCGGTCTTCTTTTATAAAAAAGATAGAAAAGTCACTGTCTTGTCATGAGCAATCCTTGGGTGTTGTACTGTTATACACATGGAGTAGCTCATAAAGATGAATTTCTTCTTTTGATCAGTTTTATTCTTGGTGAAGTGCTAATGACTATATAATTCTAATTCTTAATTTTCTTAAACTGGGGAAAAGAGTTTGGTGTGTTGTTAAATGTATCACTGATTTTAGGAAACCACAAAAAGATCCAAATTTACTTGTGTATGACGAATATTTTTACACACATGAGAAGTGCAGAGTCAGTTTGTGCTTGCTAAAATTTGCGAAGACAAAGTTTAAAATATTTAATTCAACTGTCAAAACTATTACTTACTTACTTCCATGGAAAATTATTGTTGTATTTTCAAGTCATGAATCAACCACAAAGACTATTGAACAGGAAATCACAATTCCAACTTATCACAAAACAGTTATCAGAAATCAAAGACCATATTGTCGCTAGCAAATATAGAAACTCTCTGAGCAGTAGCTCTTTCAAAACCCATCTCATCAGTTGAGAGATTAGATATAATATTACATTTAGAATTGCATAGAATCTCCTATGCTAATTCAACCAAATTCCTAATTCAAACAAAACACAACCATATTTCATAATATAAACAAATATATTCCAAAAGTTTGTCTCACAACTTCACCCATATGAAATCAGGGAAGGAAAGATTATAATATGATAAATGATATGCCAAGTGATTACAGCGGACAGGAAAGACAGAACTCAGAGTCTGGAAGATTTTGGGTGAAATAGGCTCTAGGACAGATGTTCCTTTTATTACACAAATAACTAGAATTGCTGCTGAATCAGACAGTTGTAGGTAGCCTGTAAGTTGTGCCGAAGACAGTATTTCACATTGAAACGCTGGTATAAGTTTAAATTTCCATTCCAGATAATTATTCATAATGAGATCCTGTTCCTTACAAAAGCATATATATATGCATTCTACATTATTTCCAAATGTGCAGAGAATTATTCAAACTAATTTCTTATTTATCCTGTGTTTCCTCAGCTGCCACTACACAAATTATAAAATAATCTTAGAATACTTCATAATTTCATAGGATTCTCAGCAAGTGCTAGAAAGTGAGGAATCCAGAATGCTAAGGAAAGTGTAGGTTTCCTTCTTCTGTCAATAAAGATGTGAAATTTAGGTGATGACTGAGCTCATATCATGCAAGCAATAAACACATTATAATTACTATTGGTATGTTATTCCTGCATAACGCTTACTTTAAAAGTCCTTCTCTACTTTAAATTTGGGAAAAAAAGTATTCTGGTATAACATCTTTTCCTTTTGCAACACTTCACTTTTTTGATTATTCCATTTATGGGCACGTTGTGAAAAAGTTTTCCTAGGAAGTGCTTAAATTGAAATAATCAAGCCATCTCTTATCTAAAAGAGATTACAGAGGTGGGAGTGTTTGCAGTTCATTTGCAGAAGAGTTTATTTTGCCAGTTTATGGTTCCTTGTCTTTTGAGATGAGTGGAAAATTCAGCCTAAGGGCCGAAACTGCTGCTCAGTGTAAGTCAGATGCCTCTGCCACTCTGGCAATGCTTCACCAAGAGCAAGGAGATTCCAAACTGCATGAAGTGCAAGCTGCCAGTGACAAGGCAGTGCCACACATCACTGTCACATCACACTCACCCAGCTGCAGGGTGAGCCAAACCAGGGCCTGAATTTTCCCTCAACAGGTCCACACCAATGACAATAATTCTAGACCAAAAAAGAGGGTGGGAATGCCTGGCAGTGGTGGAGAAAAGTTGTTTCCATCCATCCTCACAGCAGCATGGACTTAAGTCAACAGAAAACAATCTTGAAACTCTCTAGGGCAACATTGTTCTCTTGTGCCAAGAATGACAGAGTTGAGCTGATGCTTCAGCCTGTGATAATCTCCACTGTCCCTTTTCCCTGCTCCTTTCCCCAGCATGGCACTTGGTTACAGACAGCCAAGTGGGGATTTGGGAGTGAAACAGAGCTGCTGGACACACTCAATTAGCACAAGACAGATCACAGGACTCTGCAGAATGTGAGTGACCGTGCATGGCAGATTAGCAGGGGCTGGCAGACAGGGTAAACCACCTATGCTTCCAATTAAATGATTTCTGTCAAGTGTGGAGTCCCTGAAGCAATCAGGCACCTTAGAGATGCAAATCTGCCTTCTCATTTTTACTGCTGCTATAAAGAATAAAGCACATAATCTTGAAAACCAGACCCATGTCAATGCTAACCATATGAAAACAAAACCACAATAAATGGAAACCCAGAGAGCCTCTTTAGTATGCATGTTTTCTCAGGGCAGCAAAAATATGTAGATAAAAATCAGTTGCCTTTATGTATTACATGGTTTTCATTGGGTTTGTAGTGATTTAAGTGACTAAGTCCTCATACCCAAATGGGGAAAACCTTAAAATTGCAGATTTCCTTTGGATACAAAATGTAATGTTTTCCTTTCTTTATTTTCCAGGGACATCAAACCTGACAACATATTACTGGATGAACATGGTGAGTATTGTTTTCTCTCAGAATCCCTGATTCCTGAGATCTCAGTGGCGTGCTCATGACATGTTTTGTAAATCCATCTCCAATGTTGAATTCCTACCTAAATCTGGGCTTTCTCAGAAAGATCCCTGAGAACAAACACTTTGTGGATTTTGTAGTTTTCCTTCCTATTGCCAAAGAAATGTGGGCATCAGAAATTTTCAAGGTCTGAATACAAAGGAATTTAATATGTATTGAGATCAGCGGGGACACTTGATAAAAAGAAGTTAGTGTTTTATTAACAGGATTCTGTGAATCACCATAAAATCCCTTTTTAGGTGCCTGCCAATAGAACAGTACCAAACACCTTCTTTTCTCTTTTAGAACTTCTGAAGGGTTAAGAAATTCCACATAGCAAATTATTTCTCATGTAGATATCTAAAATAAACTTTCTAAAATCTAGATAGGGATTTTGGAAATTTCACTGAAAAGTTTGTGTCCCTACATGTAGTTCTGGCTTAAATAGCATAAAAAGGAGTAGACAACAATAAACAGGTTTGAACTTTTACTACCAACTCCATGTTTTATCTTAAAGATAAAAAAATATGGCATGAAAGAAAAGCAGCTGATTTCTTTCAACTTAAAGTTTAAACATATACTCTTGCCAAGAAGTATTTCGCTAAAATATTATGTATCTTCTTGCAACTGTTTATAGGGAAAACATGAGAAATATAAGTAAAGAGGGCATTGACCTTGTATCAGTTAGAACAGAAATACATAGAGAAAAAAACCTAATAGGAAAAAGGAGATGTGTGCTTGCTACTGTGGGAAAGTCTTGTGCTTTGTTTACTTCCAAAATGTATTAAAAGCAGATAATGTCTGAGAAACTATAATATTGAAATTATGCCAATGATGGCATTATGTTTCAAAATCCATTGCAGAGCTGCTGGGTATACAAGTTAAAGTTGATTAAAGAGGTAATACTCTGCATAGATTTGTTCCTGGGAACATGGAAGCTAATAAAGCTAAGTACTATTGGAGTTTTCAACCATCTAGAACTTCAGTAATTTAATGCTTCAGACCCATATAAGTGTTAATGTTCCCAAGATTCTAGTATCAGCAAACAAGCATGAAATAGAAATATCTTGCCTTTAAGTCCTGGTGAATTAAAGATGTCAACAGCAACACAAAGTGACTATGTTAAATCTCTGATTGACAGCCTTCGAAGCACAGTCACTTTTATCTCTCCTTGCCCCTCATCAAGGTCAATTAGTGCACAAAACCAGCCTCTTGTGAAAGCTTTCCTATGGAGACTCAAGCATCACAAAGAAGAACCTACACCAGAGTGAGCACTACAATGCAAAAGGAAGGGGGTTTTGTGATTATAAACTATTCAGCAACAAAGTCATCTGTAGGCAGCTTGGAAATTTCAGGAGGGACGGCCTCTTTTCTGCAAAGGAGCAGAATACTGCTCCCTTATAGCACACCTGCAGACAAGTGTAGGAGAAGGGACTATGGGACACAGGGAATGGGGCTGCAGCCGAGCCTTGTCCCTAATGGGTGCAGCTGTACAAGACAGGTGAACAGCACTGAACGAAAAGAGGCACAGAATGCTGATGTGCATTGACCACCCACAGAAGAGCAAAAGGGCACGCAGGTGTTATGCACGTGTGGGAAACAGGGTGAAAAGGCTTGTACTGGGGAATAATAAAGGGCTGATGCTTGAACCCAGGCTTGGTGTCAGTCATGTGTCCTTTGTCAATTGGTGCCCTGTGTGAGGAACCACTGACAAACAGACAAGTGGTGAAACAACAGACTTCTCCAGACAAGCACACAAACCTTGGTCAGCAGAAGTTACCAATTCATGGGTTCAAACAGGCTCAAAGACCTGTCACAGGGTTGAGGGAAGGAATTCCCTGAAGCCTCTAAAGGGTAAATACACTTCAACTCACTAAATGTGGTGATATCAGTAGGACAAGTGTCTGTCCCATGGTAATTACCTCAGGCTTACCTTGTAGAAGTGAAGTTCTTGTGCAAGAAGAAAGCTATTCTTGAAGTCCCTCACAGCTCTGATTAAGCTGCAACATAGTAGCATAATTTTAACAAAATCATCAGATTTCACTTAATGGAAAAACGTGCTGAATATATGCACCATAAATATATTTGGCTGCAGAGTAAGCATAACAAATTCACCTAATATGAGCCTAACCAGGTGCACAGGAAGGAACTTTATTTTAGCCTGTGGCCTCTAAGATGGTACAAAGTTTCCCATACGTTGGACTTTACCCCTAGGTCTTTCTTACATTTCATTAAACAAATTATGCTTACACAAAGTATTGTAATTGGATATGCATGACATTTCTGACTGAGACATTGTCTTGGTGACTGCTTTCTTTGGCCTCCCTTAAGAAACCTATTCTGGCTGAAGTCAAAATTTAGTGTTGCACCATTCACATTGCCTTATATCTTCAAGCAATTAAATTGACTAAGTTTCGTAACATAAACCAAGAATACATGTTATAGATATTTGTGCTCGGTAAAATTAGTTTCACTATAATTTGTCTGTATGGCTTAGGGAACATACCTCAGGCTTAGGTAACATACCTCAGGAATAGAGAATTAATGAAAACAGAAGATTTTTCTTAAAAGTGATCAATCTACAAATTAGAAGAAAAAGCAACAACACAAAAACATATACAACATATTCAAAATCATTCTGGCAGAAGAAGCCTGAATTTTTCCATATGCTTTTCATCAAAGCCACATTTCAGCACTGCTGATCACATATTCTGATGCATCAGTGGAAATAAATGTTAGATGATCCTGAAAAGCATAGTGGTACATGAGAATGGAATAATCAGACATTAAAAATAGTGTTCAGCCCCTATCAGAGGATGACTGCATGGTCTCCTGGAGAAAATACACATTCCATCTCTGAGGAGAGAAAGTAGGGATGGTTTCAGGGTTCATTCCCTGAATGAATCAGACCCTCTAAGGAAATTAATTCAATCAATAAAGCTCCTTTTAAAAATGTTTCTTTCTCAGCTTTCCCAGAAAGCTCTTCCTCTTATGACTAACACTAATCTCTAAATTTAGTTGTAGTTCTCTGTTCTGCAAACATATATCTGAAACAGAATTATTCCAGTGAAAGCTGAAGGGACTACCTAGTGTTTCAGGAGAACTGCAATTGTATTGTAAAGAGAAAAGCATTTTAGAATTATCTCAATGACAGAATTCTGGTTCTTCTTCTATTCCTTTAATTTTAATGGTTTAGAACAAAATGACTGAAGTAACAGCATTTAGATCTGGAATCTATTAAGTCTGGTCCATGCTGTATTTTTTTCTAAATATCAAAGAAATTAAAGATATCTTTAAAAGTTTGCATGACCTATTAACGATGATGTCAAAAAGACATAGAATTTCTTCAATACAGAAAAAACAAGCAGTGGCAAACAGATTAGTAAATTGATTTTTTGACAATCGTAATCTTAAGCAATCTTGGCATTAAAACCAGAAATGGGATGAGAAAACCTACGCAAAAATAACTTACTGGAATCTCAATATTAACTTCTGAATGCCAGAATTGGCAATATTTTTGCTGTACACAGATGTCTGTGAGGCAATTTTCAGGGACTTTATCTTGCTTAATTCTCCAATGCTGATTAATGAGACAAAAAGCTCCAGCACAATTCATCCACCTGAAGCTGTCTAGACTTTGAAAGTGTGTCTGAAACTTTTACATGGCCATTCAACAGCCTAACTTTTTGAAGTGCACAGCTTTGCTGAACCCATCTACAGCCACACAATTTCTACCAATCTCCCTAATGATAAGTGTCAGACTGCCAAGTCATGCCAAGTTCAGGTGGGTACAAGCTTAGGCTCTCACACATGGTACAGATGAACCCAGAGAGGCTTTTTGAATTCTTCATAGGGTTTGACTTTCTGAAAGAAAATTGGATTTGACTGTACTTCAAAATGTTACTGTTCTGAGATTTACAATCAGCCCTGGTGCTGCTGAGTTGATGGCCTTAACTCCAGTATAATATTTCTTCTCTCTGACATCACATGCACCCCTTTGGTTTCAGACTCTGAGAAATTCAATGAGGTTTGAAGTCACGTACATTTTCCTCTGCTGAATGTTAGTTAGCTAGCCCCAGTCAACTTTCAGGACTTGTTCTAATTGTCATTATGATTTGCTCAAAAATTAAATCCAAACACAGATCATTTGCTGTTTACCTCAGATACTGCAATTTCAGGCCATGCTGAAAAGTGAGACATAAAAGTCACATTGCATAAAGCTTTCCAAAGTCATACACTGTTCTGTGGGTAGTTAAAGCTTTAACTGGAAGCTGACTGAAAGACTGTAAATTTGAAACAATTTCCACTGAGACACTTCCTTCTTCAAATATATGTGTTGGTGTATGTGAAATCTGCAGTCTGGGATGATTTGAAAAAGCCACTCTGCAGAGAGTCAAAGGAATGTGGTCATTTGCTTTTTCTTTCCTTCTATCTACCATCATCTTATTATATATGGGGTCATGCAGCTCCAAGCATCAAGTAATGAGCTCTTTCCCTGGATTAACTTGAATTTAATTAGGTCACCTGAATCTGTTGTGCACTGCTCTGCTTCACTGTTCATAAAAGCTAAATCCAAGAGACACTAACATTCTGCTTAGTTCTCAATATTATACCAAGATACAGACTTGGTTTGGACATTTGGTTGCTCACAATCATATCCAGAAAGGGAGATCAACTACAAGGTGTGAAGCTCAGATAGGAAAAAGTCCCCACGAACAGAAATTTGCAAACAGTATGAAGCAGGTGGACTCCCAGCATATCCATTGCAGCAATAGCAACCTTCCCTTTTCCTATGTGCAAGAGTTGCAGCGAAAACTTTTCTTAGAGGCTGATTAGAAAGACTCCTATAGAGAACTGGGGTCTAATTGTCTCTTGAAATATTCTCACCAGGAGTGAAAAATTAAAAAAAAAAACAAAACAAAACAAACCAAAATGAAAAACAAACTAATAAAAACCCCACCCCAAAACCAAAGCCCCCAAGCCCTTAGGTTTACAAGAGTTGAAATCATGCAGTGGTGTGCACAGGCAGGCAAAGCTCCACCTCAGCACCCCTCCAGCCCTCCTTCACTGACCACAGCACACAGAGCTCACCCCTCTCTGCCCCTGTCCCAGCACAGAGCCCCTCTCCATGCCCCCAGCTCCCACCAGGCGCCTCCCCTGCCTGCAGAACCCCTTCTTTTCAGCAATTATCAGCCCTTCAAGCACCAGGCAAAGGCAGCCTGCAGACAGCCTGAGGGTTGTGGAGCAGCCCAGTGATGGGGAAAAGCAAAGGGGCAGCTTTTCCAGCAGTAAACTGTGCCCTACCTTATGTACAGGAGCTGCCTGTTGCTGCATGGGCAGCAGGATGCAGAGGAGCTATGCAGAACCTACCTTCACAAGCCATCCCTTACCTTCCAGAAAGGCATTTTTAACAAAAAACCCCACAACATTACATGGGTGCTATTTTGGTTCTGTTAAGTGAAAAGAAATCTAATAAAAGGCAGAGAAAACAATGCACTGCAGGAGAGGCAATTTTCATTGCAAATCACCTATTTGGATCAGTCTGAATGGACGTGATGCTATGGGCAGTCATACTCTGATGGATCATCTCTTACAATGCTGTAATTCAAGTGGCAGAACTATTTATATTTATATTATTTATATTTATATTTATATTTATATTTATACTTTATACTTTATACTTTATACTTTATATTTATCTGTCAAAAAAAGAGAAAGTATTAGGCTACCAAGATCCTTGTAACATTTAATTCTACAGTGTACCTAGAATTGTTTTAAACTACTGCCATGAGGTGGCTTTATGTTTTTCAGCTATCATTCTCAAGCAGCCTTCTGCCACAGTGTTTTATGATGGCAGAAATAAACTGCAAATATGCTACACTCCAGCCACCAGGGAGTAGGAATACCACCTTGGAATTGTTATGTCAAGCTGGGCTGTGAATACTAATTCTTGTTATGGCAGTCTAACACTTCCCACCTCTTATAAAGGGATGGCTTTCACTGGCTCACAGTTTTTCTCTGCCATGTGTAGAGGACTTCCTGGCCTGGACATCTTAGGAAAAAAGTGTCAATAAAATGCAGGCAGATATTTTTGAAAAAATTGCGGAAAAGTGGGCAAACTATTTCATTGAAAACTTCTACTGTGTCTCCCATTTGGAGAAACAACTTTTAAGTTTAGCAGTGGGGAGTACCTTCTTCCTTTTCCCCTTCAAAATCAGTGCAGATCTGGCCAAACTAGGCTCCTCTGAGAATTTCAGTTCACACATGCATAGCTGCACAATTAGAGGTTGGCTGATATATTTCCTGTGGACTTTGAGCAGGATCTGGGTTAGATTGTTGGAGCAGCATGACATTTTGTTGAGACTGCTCTTCCTCCATCAGGCACCAGGGTAAAATACATCAGTCATTTGTTACACTCTTTTCATCTTTGGCAGCAAACACGATTAAAAACCTCCCTCACTTAACAACTACAGCATGCCCAAGCCCTGATCCATTCTGTGGATTGAACGAGACTGAGACCTTGATAAAAAAAAACCCACAGAAATTTGTCACTCAGGAGTCTAGTTCAACACATGATATATTAATCCTGATCTGAGTGCAGAGCTAAGATGGGGAAGGGAGTACCTACCCCTGTCCTCCCTGGCATTGCCAGGTGTAATCACAGAGAGGATAGTGTCTGCATCAATCCACAACACTAGTCCTTGAGCAAAGATGCAAAACCTAACAGAAGACATATTATACATATATATACATATTTTCAAGCTGGATTTCTATTCAGTTTATGTGCCTATAGCAAATCAGGAATAACAACGATTACTTCACAGTGGTGGAGCAATTGAATCTATGCTTTTCATAAACTATCCCAGGAAAAAAGTAATAGAATGTTTGGGCCATTCAGCCTCATTAGTGCAGTTTAAATAATCTGGCTGGCTGGTCAGGCAGCACATTCTCAGGCTGACTTCTGCCACTTATTGTTCACCTTGCCACCTGCTGTCAAACAAGTGATCATCTGGGATCTGTTCCTGTTACATACACATCTTCTGCTACTATGGATCTAATTTATAGCTATTGTGTGCCATTGCTGGGGCATGTTCAGCTTTTCATCCACAAGAACCCCCAAGTTCTTCCCCACAGGGCTGCTCTCAGTGAGTTGTCTCCCAGCCTGTGCTCGTGTCTCAGATTGCCCCTGTCCAGGTGTAGTACCTTACACTCGGACTTGCTAAATTTGATTAGGTTCTTGTGGGCTTACTTCTCTACTTTGCTCATGGCATGAGAAGATTCAGGGGTGATCAGCAAAAACAGTTCAAGAAGGCAGACAAGTAGTGGGTACAACCACATAAGAAGAGCGTTCAGTCACTGTGCTTCCAAATTGATTTTTCTAGTTAAGAGTAACATCTAATATTAAGTTTCTAGTAATGTTCTGTATCTTTCCAATTGTGTTTCTTTCCATTATCACTGAAATGTTAGATAAAGTGAGGAATATTTGTATGATGTGCTATTTTAACGTCTGTTTTTACTCTGTGTAATTGCAGGACACGTTCATATCACTGACTTTAACGTAGCAACCATAGTGAAAGGCTCAGAAAAAGCTTCTTCTATGGCTGGCACAAAACCCTATATGGGTAAGTTTTCAAGACATTTAAAAATGTAAGAAAAGTTACACATTAAGGCTGACTTTATGTATGGCAAAAGGATTTTAAGTTGTAAATGCATGAAGTAGATGTGATCAACTTCTCTTTTTTTGACAGTACATATGTGTATCAGCAGTGAAAACCTTCAGAGATGGAGGATATTGTTTGGATGTTATTTTATACAGGAGCTTGATCTCTACACTCTAGTCAGGTTCTATTTGGTTTTGTAAATTCAAATTCAGGAGAAATTTAGCTGTGTTACTGTCTGTAAATTCCCACATCTTGAGACAAGAATATATGATATATATGCTTAGGTGAAATGAGCAGCACAGCACAGGCATGGGATACAGAGCATTAGGAGGTCAAGGGAAAGATGGGAGACAGGGAAAAGATTTTACCTTTTCACACTGATGGATCTGGTCTAAGTCCTGAAGCCTCCTCCCCACCCATCAGATCTCCACCATATCCATCAACCACACAAGAAGAAACAGTACCAAAAAAATTCTCTCCTTTCCTTTATGAAGGCTATCACACCATCCACCAGCTTACTTTCTCTTCATTGCACCTTCCTCACCTCTTGGAAATTCAAAGATGCTGCAGAAGCCCCAGTTGCAGTCTTTACCATTCAGAAAGAGTCAGAAGAATCACCCTTACATTTATTTGGAGCTGTAAGAGGACAGCAAAGCTTTTAGAGCTGAAAAAATCCTCTGTTTCAGATGAAAAGTGATGGGTAAGGATTCTCTGTGGCACAGTTTGGATATCAAAGCTTCAACAAACCAAGTATTAAGTGTGTGACAGATATGGCCAGACATTCATTGGTGCTGCTTTCTTCTTTTAGTTTATACCTTTTATTTTGTGAAGAGTTCTAACTTTAGTGAAATGCTGCAAGGACTTTTCAGTTGCAGTGATTTCTGGTTGTAAGGCTGTATCAAAGGCTTTCCATGCAGTTTCTCCCGAGACGTTTAGACTGCAAGTCAAATAAAAAAAAAACAGAATTGGGGGAGGTTGGCTCTATGGTTGCTGGTAAGCTTCTATTAGCAGGAACTCAAACCACAATTTAACCTTTGTGTAACAAGACAAAGTCACCTTCAAGCAGGTATTTGCTGAATACCAGAACCAAGGAAACTTAGCAGTTTCTGTAAGACATGACTTATGCCTTATGATTTTCACAATGATGACAGTATGAGATGTGATGAAAGCTTTTTCCCCCTCTTGAAGGTTTATAAAGTCTTAATCTCATGTGGATCCTGTTATGTTTAATCAGATATGAGAGGACTCTCCAGCCTTTGCCTTAGCAGAGGCACTTATAGGATTTCTCACTTCTTCCTATGGCCAATTTAAGGAAATAAACAGAAAAAACGTTATCTCTAAAGCCTCCATTCCTCTTTGAAATCTGATTGAAATAGGCTGAAAAATCGCTAGGGAGTGATATGTTCTCAAGCAGCATGACCGAATAAAAATGGTTTCTAGGAAAAAACAGAATGAATTGGTATTGTGTTGTAAAAACGCCCTAGCTGTTCTGATTAAGATGCCTATCTTGTAATGCTAAGCATGGTGCGAGTCAGCTCCTGCAGCCTTTGCTTAATCCCACTTCACATTAGCCTTTTAGCCCCAAAGTCTTTGCTTAATCCCACTTCACATTAGCCCCAAATATTTCAGCCTGAAATATTCCCTGCCTATTTCCCCACTTATTAAATGTTTGTGCAGAATGCACTGTACCTGAACCCTAATGTTTCTCTAGAAACCCTGTCAGTTCCCCCTTCCCAGACAATTCATTCAGACAAGTGAAATACCCACCACACGCAGGAGCAGAGACAGAGACAGCAGTATATGTGAAAAGAGCAAGGATGCTTCCAGCTATTTCTGCAGCTTTTCCTCTCAAAGCCAGCGATCTGAAATGCTGAAATGAGATCAACTTCTAAGAGTTTAGGGGTCCTCCGAGTTTGTCTTGTGCTCTTCAGGTGGCTGGGACTGTGGAAGACAATGTGTGCCTTCTGCTGATTTGGGAGACCTGTGACAACCTGTGCCTGATTTTACCTTCACAAATTCACTGGCTCTTGGCAGCACAGCTGCTGCCAACAAATGACCACAAGAACTTGTGGAGGACCCACTCCATTCTGCATTGGGATGTGGACCAGGAAAGCCAGGGCAGGGTAGGACATGGTCCCTGGCTGCAGCCTGTGCTGGTCTGTTCAGCTGCCACTCTTTTCTTCCTGCAGAAGGGTATTACTTTGGCCTCTTGTGAGGAAAATAAGCGTGTGTTCTCCTGACTGGAAGCACCTGTGTAAGGCCTTGCTACTTTCAACATTCTTAAATTGCTCCCTCGTAAACAAGGCTGCAAGAAATATCTCTGTGTCTGTGCACCCATCTGCAGTGATGGCCCTCTACCCTGCAAAAGAGTGCTCAGCTACAAGCCCAAAAGTTAACCAGTAAAACACATCTAGGAAACATGACAGGTGCCACCTTCCTTTTTTATGTGGTTTTTTTGTGGGGTTTTGTTGCTGTTGTTGCTTATTTCTGCTTTGGTTTTTTTGAGGAGCTTTTGGTTAAAGCGGTAGGAGGGTTTGGGGGAGGTAGGCAGAGTCTTTGATGCTTTTCTCAGCAGAGACTGAAAATATTCAAATGATGCAGTGTGACTTTACCCCAAATCAAACCAATAAAATATATTTTATTACACAAATACACCTGACAGAAATCCAAAGTCAATAAAATCAGTCATAAATTATGTGAAAGGTTTCAGCTACCCAATTCCTATCTCACAGCTTCTTATCTCAGGTTTTCACAGCTCCTTTCATAGGCTGCTTTCATGGTGAAGAATTACATTACCAGAGGATTGTGGATTTACACTGGTCCACTGAACTTCTAAAATGTATGAGTCATCCATATTTATTAATTAATACTGTGTAGGTGTATTATTGAAGTCAGAGGAAAGCCAGTGGATGTCCTGATATAAACCTTTCATGTAAAAAAATTAGCCCATTTTAATTTGTTCCTCAGATGCTTAAAATATAGCAGGGAAATTTTTGAGTTGAGTTTTCAAAAGTGGTCAATCTTTGGTATTTTTGCACTCATATTAAACAGTAATCAAATACTGTTTTGCAGGTCATTGCATTTTGAATGCAGCTATGGCAGCATCTAGGTTTTTAAAAATCTACCTTTACCCTACAGGGAGTTTGACTGCAGAATTTCTCTGGTCATGTCATTACCTGACCTTTTGATCCTGGGGAAATCTCATGATGTCAGCATGACAAGGGAGGCTTCTGTTTGTTCTAATAAGCAAAAAGTGTGGTTGTGTGAGACTTCAAGAGCTGAAATAAACACTCCCCACACTGATGGGATTTTCAGCTCATGCTAGAAGCTATGTGGCTGAAGGGATTAAACACTGAGCTGCAAGCAGGCATTTAGGTTTTGGTTCTACCCCGTGGAACCAAAGGAGTAGGAACATAAGCAGCTAAGAGCCTCAGGAGATCAGGAAAGGAGTTATTACCTCCAGCTGCTGCTACCATCCTTTAAGATCGTCCAGCAAAACACAATGATTTCTTTGATTATTTCAGTTAATAAATACCCCACTCTGAGTTTAAGAGGTAGTTTTACTTTGGGCTTTTTATTTGTTAATTTGTTTGTTTATTTATTTATTACCTGCCCGAAAGGGCCTGATGTGTTGTGGAGCTCTGCAGGCAGATCCGAGGGGAGCAGAAGCCCCAGCAGGACCCTTCTGCCCCCTGGATAACTCCTGGTTTTTGGTCAGGCCAACCCCCCCAGGTGTTAGCATGCACAAACTGATGCCAAGATATTTTCTAACCGGGTGGGAATATGTGATGCAGGAGCATGGAACAGTCCTGGTGTGTCAGGTACAGTCTGTCCTGAAAATCCCCAGTTACCCGACCTGCTAATTTCAGTCCTGGGCAGAACAGCTGCTGCCTATACACTGGAACAATCTTCCAAAACACAAATGGATATTTTTGGACAAAATCCCTTCTAAAAATTACTAGAAAAGCTGGCCCTGCAGCCACTGTGAGCTTTTCTATGGAGTAACGAAGGTGCTTGTGTACAATTTCCTGTCCAATAACGGGAGACCATGACATGCTTGCTGCTGCTGGGCTTTCTTTCAACAGGGGAAGCAACTCGAGGTTATTTCTCTGAGGCTGATCCAGATGTTCAGCCACTAAGAGCTTCTCTGTGCAAGGTCAGGAAGTGAGTTCTGTTCAGTGCTCGTGTAAAGCAGAGGGTTGTATGAGGATAGCACACTGAATAAGGGCAGGAGAGGTTATATAGCCATATGGAAAACTAATAAGGCATTTAAATGCCATGTCTGTTTTCAGGTAATGGTATCTAAATTATTTACTTTGATTGAATAATTGCATTAAATATGAGTATTAAAACTATTGAGGTGTATAATGTGAATAATGGTGCAAAATCAGTTACATGGCTATAACAAGTATAAACCTCACACTAGAAAATTGCCATCCCAGCATGCCCAGGCTTGAAAGCAGCATTTTGCCTTATAAAATAGAAGTTAGCAACTGGCTATTCTAAAGGTCTGAGTCAGAAGCCTGACCATTATAATTTAGAACTTTTTAGCACACGAGAAAGTAAACACTAGGAGGTAAATTGACAGTTTACCAAATCCACATTTATATTCAGGGAGAGGGAAGTTGTTTTCTTCCATTTTACTCTTGAAACAGCTTCTACTCTGGATTGAAGATCACTGGTCATTATTGTATTTTGTTTTCTGTTTTCTATTAAAACCATGATCCAGAAAAATTACTGACTCCTGAATTTACTTCTCAGGAGAAGGTGGAAATTAATATTTTCTCATCACAGTGCTGAGAAAGCAATTAACATTTCATGGAAACATCTCAGTTCAAGGTTCTTGGAATACTATTCTAAAATTCAAGTTTCTTTTTTATTCAGCTCAATCTGTCATGCCTTAAGCCTGATTCAGCAAGATGAAACTATAAATGTGTTCTATACATCATCATTCACACATG